TGGCTCTAAGGCTGTATGCAAAATATTCTGAAAATATGATAATTTCAAATTTACCAGGAGGATATTGCCTGAGGTCCAGCCTTGTTAGTCGCTACCCGCTGTCAAGCCATACACATGATCCTGCTAAATACATGACTCAGGCACTACTATGTGGTTTCCGATATACCTGCGACAAGGGGCGGGAAGGGTTTGGTCGTGATGAGGGACACTAAACATTAACCTAATCCCAATCGTAAGTCTAACCCTAGCCCTGAACAATGATCCCAACCATAACCCTAACTCTAATACCAACCTTAACCCTAATCTTATCTCTAATACCAACCATAACCCTAACACTAATATCAGCCCCAACCCTAACACTATCCTTAACTCTAATAGTATACCAACCCCAACCCTAACCCTAAACACCTGACTTCTCACGTATGTGGCAGCTCAAGGATTTGGCTCAACACCGACGATCTTAGTTAGTGGACTTAACCTAAATTAACCTATTCGTAACAAGGCTGGGCTCCAGACTACGTCACCGGTGATGAAGTCCAGTGACCCCGCGGTTGCCGATCTTTGCGCCACCAGTAGCCGAGAGCCAATTCTTGTTAGCTTTGGGCCGCTATCGTGGGGATCTTGGAGAGTAGACTTCAGTGACGATTCACATACCATGTATATAGTAACCACTTACTAACGGTGACCACCTTTACATAGTTACAACATGCAATAAGCTAGGGTGTTATCTTGACATCTTAGGATGCGACCGGTATTAGTTACCTCACAGCCGCTTCAGCTAACAAGGCTGGGCGCCAGACTATGTGACCAGGTGCCGAAGGTAAAGTCCAGTGACCTCACGGTTACCGCACGTTCCCGCCGTCCTGTGACTCCGTTAATGGCCGTGTTTGTGGAAACGGAGGTGTTTCACTGAGGTGAACGTACCTTAGCACGACCGGCTGGTATTGAACGGTCTAAGAGACATACTACATTGCAACTTTGATAACTGTTTTGCTGTTGTACACAATTACCAAAGGATTGTTATCGTGCAAACATACATGTAGAAGCTCTCAAACAAAATAAAAGATGAAACCGGAGTTATTTTGACACAAATGCATTAATTGGTACTTAAAATCCGCAAGTCATTTTGTTTAAAAAGGCTTTAAAATCATAGTGTCAAAGTCCTTTCTATTTTTTACATTTCATTTATGGATTCAGAGCCATGCTCAGGCACGTTCACCGTTCTGGATAGTCCACGCATATTCAGAATCATACCTGGGGCATATCTATATATTCTTGGATATCTAGAACCATGGTTGATCATACATGTAACCCTAACACATTCATGCATTGATCTCAGCAGGCACGGTTCTGGGTACAATAGTGACCTCACGGTCATCGCACGTACTCTGCCCTTTGATCCCATATACTGTGTTATACGTCAATTATCCTACAAAAACTCGGGGAACATAAGACAAATCAGACACAGTTTGGCCGGAAAAAGGGAAAAGCTTTAATTTGTGACTTTTCCGAAACAAACACAGGTGGAGGAAGGGGTGGTGGTGGGTGAAGAGACAAACTAAAACAAGACCGGCACCCGCGTACCGTCAAGTCGAATGGCGTATCACGTGATCGTGTCAAAGGTTACGGGCCGAAACAAAAGAAACGGGGGTTTTCTAGACAATTAACAAAAATTACCAATGGTCAATTTTTCCCAAATTATCCTACAAAAACTCAGGAAACATAAGACAAATCAGACACAGTTTGGCCGGAAAAAGGGAAAAGCTTTAATTTGTGACTTTTCCGAAACAAACACCAAAGGAACGGCCAAACTGCAAAACATAGTTATTTTAAATTTAGAAAACCACCACCTACTCCTTTTCTTTCTCTTTAGCTTCCTATGATATCATACTTGAACATTGCTTTGGGGTTACCAACCCAGGAAGGAACAATATAACAACAATTCAAAAATATAAAACTGTTACAACTTATAACAGTATAACTGCTGTCGAACTATTCAGGCTAACAACCATCATAACTTCTTACAATAGTTCACTAATAGGGAATCATATAAGAACATGCGCAACAAACTAAAGGGACCTAAACACATAGGTCAACTTGTAACAATAACATTGTCTCCTCCTAACAAAACCATCTATTAGTAGTCTACGATGTGGTGTAAGATACTAGTACTACAAAGCCATCTTACGAATGCTAGTCACCATTCTGGAACATAGACTTAACCGGGTGGCTAAGGGAACTTTCAGATACAGCAAGTAGGCGTCCGAACGCCAGTCACCCTGAAGGCGAATCAAGTCAATAGGAACACCTGAACGAAAGGCAAAGGTGGCACCACCTCTACGTCCACTATGTAGTGAGTATCTAGCTGGGCTTAAACCTGCTCTAATCAGGATCTGCTTGAAAGCCTTATCGAAAACGCTCTGAGTCAAAGGTACAAATCCGGATCTATGTGGTCTCGTAAAAGCTGCGATAGTATCAAAATTGCGATTCAACTTAACCATATTACAGTATGCCGATACAGGACAAAGAGGAGAATTCTTGATCTCCATCACGGGAACGTACAATACTCTCTCAGCACACTGTAATGTCTTAGACCATCTAATTCTGATCAGCAAAACTCCTCTATGTACAGCAAAATCATGCATAGTGAACTGTTTAGCCGGATCGAACTCATGCTTAGACACAAAGTTAGATTTTCTCTGAAATGTGAAGAAACTTAAAAGAATCACTGTCCATATGGTTGCCTGAAACGAGTCCGAGGTATCTAACTGTTCATGGATCTTGAGTAAGACTTCTGGGGTGAATGGCAGCTTTTGACGTGGCGTATGTCCCATTTGTTTCTTCAGTCCACGTAGCACTAGGGCTAGATCCATAGACGAGAAAGCCGCGGTGTCTAGTCCGAACAGGATGTGAAAGGTTTTAATACCACTGATATAGTTTGCAATTGATGCTGGCGCCCGAAAGGAACGACTGAGAAACTCAGCATAAGTCTCCAGGGTGTCTACTGTTGACGGAAAGGGCGGTAAACCGTAGAAAGTACAGAACAGCATGTAGGTTCGTAAATGTGTTCTCAAGTTCCCCCAAGTTCCTTCAGCAAAGGCTGCCCGTTTAGTCTGACGCACTCGGTCTCGCAGTAATGTAAGGTCTTTGCTGGCTAGAAACAAACAAACAAACAGAACAGAACAAATGCATTAGACCTTATCATACAGTCAATAAGGGCACTCCAAGATAAAGTCTTCCTGGAATACCGGAATCTCACAAGTGGTCTGGTGTCGTGTGAGACTCTTGAACTGCTGAGAGTGATACGTTGACAGGTGCCATCGCGAAAGATGATCTGCAATCCGATTGTGGGAACCTTGAATGTGTGTGGCCTTCACCTGGAACTCAAATGTGGCAGCCAACAGCCATAATTCCCTCGCACACTGCAACAGTTCCCGATCACGAGCACGGCCGGAGTTTAATACGTGCACACATGCCATGTTGTCGCAGTGTACCAAAATTCGCTGTCCAAACCATTGGGGTGCCCACTTCCGTGCCGCGACTACAATTGTTAATATTTCAAGCACGTGTATCTTTGATCCAAACTGTTCCAAAGTCCGCTCGGGAAACTCGCAATGGAAGAACTGACCGTTGGAGAAACCGCCGCACCCCGTGACACAGGCATCGGTCATAACCAACTCGTCAGGGTCGCTGTAAATGTCTGGAACCATCATCGATACACCGTTGTATGAATCCATAAACCGCTGCCACCACTTGAGATCCAATCTGAAATCCCGTGTCAAGCGAAGTCTATGGTGGTTCCGTCGTAGTGAACGCAATGCCTCCAACATACGTGATATAAACAGTCGTCCGGGAGGCACACAGGATGAGACAAAAACGAGCTTACCGATCAGGGACTGGAGTTCGCGTCTAGTGGCCTTCTTCTTGTCCAGCCACGCGCTAACAAGCAGTCTAATCTCTTCTAAGCGGAACTGTGGAACGCGTCTAGTCATAGACACTGTATCGAAATCTATTCCTAAAAATGTCATACACGTAGTAGGGCGCACTGCCTTCTCTGGAGCTTCTTCCAAGCCAAGACTGCCCAAAGTGTTCTGTAAATCTGCGAACGCTGCATCAGCTAAAGATGGAGTTTCCGCTCCTCCGAAATCATCTAAGTAATTACACACATCATAACCTTTCTCCTGCTGAATATAAGTGACGGCTGAAGTCGTTGTTTGGCAAATGTATGCTGATGATCTGAGTCCAAATACTAATCTAGTGTCCACATAGAAATCACCTCTCCAATTGTACAATAGATATTTGTAGTCCTTAGGGTCCACTGGCAACTGCCGGTATGCTCTCCTTAAATCTGTCTTATATAACAAACAACCTGGTCCCTTATTCAAAATCATTTGAGTCATTGTGTCGACTGATGGGTAAGACAACTGTACCGTGTCTCCTAGATAAGTATCTTTAGGTACTGCTTCATTCAATGCATGGCCACATGGAAAACTACAGTCCACTACTACTCTTCTCTTATCACTGTTCCGTTTCT